GACTCCTTTCCACTCTATAGCAGAAGTCGCGGTAATCCGACTATCGTTCGGGCGGCTTGGGTTTCTCCAATAGGACTTCCCAAAAATTTTAGTTTTTGGAACATGGTCGGAAATTTTCAAAATTGGGGAAAAAAAGCGGATTTCCGCTTTTTCGTGGAAGTCTTTCATCCCTGCAACACATAATTTTTAAATAAGTCTAATACGAAGATCGATGATTGATATTAAAATCGCCTGAATAAGAATCGAGATTTTGTCAGAATCTGGCGCAGTTCCCAATATTTAAAATTCCTAAAATCAGTCAAACATACATAAAATCCTTAAATCAAACAGTACGAGTCATCATCTGAAAGACGGGGAAGTCATTCTCTCACACTTACGCACGTCAAAAAGTTAAACATAGAAATACTGGAAATAGGGCTGTTTTCCTGAGTTTTCGATACTTTTCAAGGTCATTTCGAAATTTTCAAGGATGTAATATCATTTTCAAGTACTCCTAGGGGCCCTTGAAAATCAAAATGAAATTCAAGTACTTTTCAAGGCCGCGGGAACCCTGAATATATGACTGAATAACCGTTATAATAACTGAAGGTTTACATCGTATTCAAATAGTTAGCAAAGTTTTTGAACAAATTTATCCAAATAGCAAGAGGGTTGATGGACTAATCAAGCTTTAAGCAATGATCCAAATTTCAAAGACCTGTAGTCAATGAGTTAAAATAACTAACTACAAAATCTTAAAACTCTACTCAGATAAAATAAATAATTTTTGTAATAACAAAATAAGTTTTAGATTTTGACTAGAATAAAAAATTATCACACAATTAAAAACTGTTATTTATGGCAAATAGAAAACTTATTTAAAGATGAATTAGCATATCACTGGTAAAAAACTCTTAAGTTAATAAACTTCTAGATATTAGTTCAAAATTACATTTAATCAATTACCTTTAGATAAGTTTCTATGGCTAAAATATATTTTTTTATAATGAAAGCACCTAAAATATTTATTATTCTTGTCTCATTGTTATAATACCAATAAGTATTTTTTTAAATATTTTTTCCTTTCAGTAATGACATAAATAATCAATTTGCTTAGACAGATTACATAACACAATATCGTACTTTTTTCAAATAAATATACATATAATAAATATACATAATAAATATTTCATAACTAATTGAGTGATTTTACAAAAAACAGTAAAATTCTTTTTTTTTTGAAAAAAATTATATACCCCCCCCCTTTTTTTTTCAAGGTGCTAAGTCGTTTTTTTTTATTTTTTAAAAATCTTAAAAAGTACTTTTATTACGAAGTACAGTTTAAAATTTCAATGTTGTAGGTAGATATAGGTGTTATGGTGCAAATTGTGGGCTATCAAAAATAATCTGGCTTAAATAAATTTCTTAACTATAACAAATACTTTACTAATTTGAGAAGATGGCATATGGAATAATGTACATACTTAAATATGTATTTAATGTTTTACATGAAAAATACATAGTATTTAAAAGAAGTTACTTTTTCCTGCTGCGATGATAAGGTGCTCCAACAAAGAGATTTCATTATACTGAAAATATATCGCTTCTCACAAATATGAAAATCTACACTTGTACGAAGTCCATCAGCAAGTAAGCTTAATAACCATAACCTTTGTATTCTATGCTATGAGCAAGAAAAAGCAATGTTAAACAACATGACATTAAAAGATTTACAAAAATAAAATAAACAAAATGAGAATAATAAAAAAATTTAAATAACAAAAATATTTCTTGTAGTGACCTGTAGCCTACCCAGCTTCTAATCACTAAGTGCTAGATTTTCTAGGAAGAGAAGGCAGTTCATGCCCAATGCTGACCACATTGTCACTATATGCTTCTGGTCAAGAAATTGTGAATTTAGCTCAAATCGGGCAGTTGCAGAATTATTATTATTTTTTTTTTTTTGTAATAAGAATAGAGCTGAGTTTAAATTTATGTTAAATGTGGGTAATGAATTCTAACTTTTCTTAAAATAATAAAAACTAATGCCTGAAGATACAGACATATGACAAAAAAATTTTAAATTAAGTTCAGTAATTATACAAGAAATAGTAAATGGTACAATACTTATCGAGCAATACTAAATGAAAAGAAACTACTTCAAGATGCTGAAACAAACTTGTCTTGCTTATCATAGAAATATTGGTGACATACATAATTTTTTATCATGACCCCACAGCTAAATTTTCGCAATCAAATATTTGGATACATTCATTATCTGTAAATTTATACAATAAAACTTTGATTGATTGTTTCTTTAGGGACATTCATTGCAAAACATCGATGTGATGGAAAAACGAATGCAAGACAACATTAAATATCAAATAACTTGAAAATGTATGAAAAAAAATGGATTTTAAAATTATAAACTTACGTTATGTGTAAAAAAATTTAATTAAAAAGAGTGTGTACTTAATGTAAAGATATTTCCGACGCAAAAGAAAGATGAATAAACACATGTATTTACTTCAAATATTTGGACATTTTGATTTGAACACTCTTTTCTTCTTAGATTAAACAATAAATTTTCGGCACTTGTAACAGATTGCCATTCATTTTCTGTAAGTTTACGTAAAAATCCAAAGTTCCTCATTATTTTTAAAGGCTCTGAGGCCTTCCACAAATGAATTTTGGTTGCAGTTCCACACATTGGTTGTTGTTTGGTTTTACAGTCTTCATCAGTATCAGTTTGCATTCCTTAGCTTCTGTGACATTTCTTTAACTAACAATACCACAAGTTTTAACATTTTCATCAATTGATGCATATCCATCATATTGCAACAGATACTAACTTTCTTCATTGCACTAGCATCAAGAGACTTTTTTTTTATTTTTCTAAATCTCAAAACGATAATAACTTCAATATTTTTTAAAATGTTCATATAATTGCTGAATGATTTTTATAAGCTGAACTGTTAAGTTGAATCAAAGAAAGAAAAACCTTGTCAATACAGTAGACTAAATCATGCATTAAGAGTTGCTTCTAAAAATCAAAACAATTCCTTTAATATTTACTCATAAAATCAAACCAGATTAATTGATTATTACTTAATCGTACCAAAAATCATCAGACAGCAAATTTGTACTAAGCACATTTTTTAAACAATATAATAGTATATAACGTAGTAAAAGTTTATTGCTTATAGAAAAAAATTGTATATAACAATAAGAAGGAGAAAAGCTGATACTACTTCTGCAATATCTATAAAGATTACATGGTGATAAAACTATAAGGTTTGTCAGTTATCTAAATTATGGTGAGTATGTAATCTTAAAAGATGAATATTAAATTTACCTCTAACTCTACACTGTTAAATAACTTGTAAAATTCAGGAACATGAGTGACATCTAAGGCTGGTTTTGTCATAATAAATTTGTACAGAATAGGATATAGAGAATTACCTGAAAAAAATGTACTTACTTTAAAATATTTTTCTTTTCAATAAATAATAAGAACATTATGATAGTTCAATTTTTAGATTTCAATACATAAAAATATTTATAATATAAAATAAAAGATACATGTCAGTAACGAAGTTTTTTCAAACTCAAACAATCATTTCAATCATTTTTAAAAGTAACAGATCTCTGGAGATTGACTTAATAAGGAAAGCAGCTATCAGTACAATTCACATCAGTTTTAGAGAATAAAAACAAGATATTGAAAGAGAACAAAGAAACAAAATATTAAGAAAACTTATTTAGTATTTAAAAACCAAGCAGAACTTTGTATCCAATTCTTAGTGGTTTTTAGGTCTTTTATGTAAAAAATATTTATAAGAAAAATAATAAGTAAAAAAAAAAAAAGGATTCAAGGATTAGCTTTCAAATTGCCCAGAATTTCCATAGTGCAAGATATTAGAGTTAAGAAATCTCTGAGAAAAACTTCAGCTGAAATTAGACAATTCTCTATTTTCGTTTAATGCAAACACTTTTCCATCCTTTGTAGTTTATTGTAGGTCACACTACACCCAGTAAAAAATAGATAAATTATTATACTATTAATAAAATTTTCATTCTACTTCAGTTTATCATAAACAGGCAGTTGACTGTACCAGGGCCGGATTAAGCGTACATGGGGCTCTAGGCCATTAAAATTTTTGGGGCCCTTCGATTAAGTTGTTTTTCTCATATATTTTTAATTTATTCAATTATAAAAGTATTTATATATCTTTTCATTTAAGAAAGCATATTTAAAATAAAAATAAATCATAATAAATTAAATTTTACTTTATTTTGTTAAATTAGAACTAAAAAATAATCATAACATTTTGAAAAAATTTGAATATATATTTGAATTTGATTTTTTTTTAAAAAAATCAGTAAAAAAGAAATAAAGATATTTGATTGAACAAATACTTTGATTCATTTGTCAAAATTAATATTACACAAATATTGAGGAATTAAAGGTTTATAATAAATACAAAAGAAATCACTGATTCATGATATAATATTAAAAAAAACATACTTGGTTTGTTGAATATTTCAGTTACTCTAACAAGAAATAATGTAATAATGCATGGAAGTTTAGGATTGGAAGATGATATATCATTACGCAGGCACTCTAAAAGAGATATCCAAACTTCTTTTTCTTGAGATCTCCAACTTTCTAAATGGTGATAAAACTGAGAAAGACAATAATATCCAAGAGCCCTGAGATCTGAATCATAACTACTCAATGAAATAAATACCAGGAATAAAAGTTTTGATTCAAGGAAACAGTGGATATTTACATAGGAACCTAAAAAAATAATTTATTAAAATTTTAAAACATGAAGAGTTAGATATAAAAGTCTAAGAAATACTTCCAAAGTATTCAGCGTTATTCTCAAACATGATTAATAATTATGGTTCAGAGAAACAAAGAAATTTTTATATTCTTTAGGCACAATCTTAAATTGTCTGTCTGGAATATTTTAAAGCAATTTTAATTGGAAACCCATAAACTTAGATTGCACTTTTTCTTAAAGTGAACTATTTCCAAGAAATTGTTGTAAAATATTTAATGAAAGTAAATGTTTAATAACTATTATTTGTTCACTCTTAAAGGTTAATAAGGCATTTTTTGATTTATAATAACCTCAGTTTGCAAATTATAAATCTGAATTTTAAGATTTATATAAATTTTATTTAAGGAAATTAATTTTACTAAAGCACAATAAATGCAAGAATAAAATATTTTAAGTCAAGATTTTGGTCACAGTTGCAAAAGACCAAGACAAGAAAATATTCTATAAGCTATAAAAATAATGCTTTTCTAAAATGGAATAAATTCAAGAAAAAATAGAGTAAGATAAAATTTAATTAAGATAAAATTTAAAAAAAATAAAATTTAAAACACAAGTAATAGAAGAAAATGTTAAACATGCTAAGTAGCAGCAATGCACAAAAGATAAAAATAGTAATGTACTTACCAGGAGACAGCAGATTTGCAAGTAAAGGCAGAAAGAAACGTAAATCATAAATGTTACAAGCTAATTCCTTGTCAATGTCTTCTACAAATTCCAGAGAAAGCTAAAAACAAAAATGATTAAAAAAATAATAATTTAAATAATGCTTAAGAAAGACAATAAGATTCAGAAAAAAAATAAGAATGGAATGAATTTTACAACTAAAGTAAAGGTTGCCTAATTAGGGTTTATGTAAATCAGGCAAACTTTCTGAAAATTTTAGAAAGAAAATTAGAAATATAAATAAATAATAATTAAAAAAAAAAAAAATCTAAATTAGAAATTTAATCACTATTTTCAGTTTTTATGAGTTGGTTTATTTTTGTGCAAGTTTGATTTCAAATAGATTAACTGCCTATAGAAATTTATATGATAAGGAAAAAAATATAATCAACATTTCACTAAAACCTAAAGTTCAATTTCATTAGTTAATTATATAGCTATTGTTCTATTTTTCTTTTCTTGGAAATAACACAAGGAATACCAAATTTTGATGTGATTAAGAAAATGATTAAAATGATTAAGAAAAATTTAGTCACAAAATATCAAAAAACTATTTGAAATTCTATACCATTAGAAACTTAACAAACTAAATTATAACTTTAAAGTATAATTAATTTAAATAATAATGAAAAAAGGTTTGGTAATTTCTCCTCTGAATAAAAGAGATTATAATCTAAATTTTGAACATTTTAGGGGAGATTCTGAAATTTTTAAAGGATAACTACTTTGATGGATTCTATAACAAATATTTAAATTGAGATCAGTAATTAATAAAGCGGAGAATTTAATTTACTAACATCGTTATTTACATACATTTATTTATTTTTTTGCAGGTTTTTCTAAAGTTTGTCAAAAGCCAGTAAGAACACTAAAATATTAAACTTGTAATGCAAATTATTTTATAAAGCAACTCATTAATAATCGGATTAACATATTTATTATTATATAAGTTGGATGTGGATACTGAAAGCTTAAAAACAATTATTATAATAGAAACAAAGAACAAAATATATGAAAAAATATATTTACCTGTAAAGCCATTTTTAGAGGATAATGAAGAATAGTTTTTTCAATTTTTTCAGACGAGATTAGACTGGCAATATCTTTAAGTTTAGCTTGCTTCGATAAATTAAGATGTTCTCCACTGTTTACAATTGAATAATGTGCAATTGCAGCTTTACCCCATAAGAAAGGGCTAGAATAATAGAAAATAAAAATGATACATTTTAAAATAACTTATTTTGTTTCTTTTAAAAAAAAGTTAGACTAATTAGTACATAAACTAAATTTACAAGTAAATGCTGAAAAAGCAGTGATATTTAAGAGTTTCACAGTAATTCAGTCATTAAACTTTAAGATTTAATTAATTATTCAAGCAATTTTACTTTCTTTTAATTTCTATGAGCAAACAAAAAAAATCATATTAACAAAAACAATACTTGAATATTTTAGTACACTTTAATTTTTATATTTTAATTAAAGTTTCTTTTTATCTTTAACAAGTCAAATCCATACAAGTTCAAAAGATTAATAATTTTACACTGCAATACTTAGCATACAAAGGATGTCCTAAAATTTACGAAAGATTTTATTTAAATAAAAAAAAAATTTTCAAATTATTAATTATTTTTATTGAAACATAAACTACATGGGACAGGATTATATATGAAATAGTAGATTGGGCAAATGAGTTTCACAATCTTGCTGGCACACTTTTTCATCAAAATTTTCCATTACTATTTGGCATAAATGCTGTAGAATTCCATCGATGCTTCTTTGATGCACGGCGGAATGTGGGCTTGTTGATATAGATCTTTGACTTCAAATTATCCTCGTCAAAAGAAATCTAATGGTGTTAAATCAAATTATCTAGGAGACCACTTTTCTATTTAATTCAATCTACCATAAAATTTAGGACACCCTTTTCTAGAAAATATTTACCATTGATCAATGACATTTAAATTAGAAAAAGTATTAAATGTTAACAATTAATAACATGAAAGAATGAAAGTTTTTATGCTTAAATTTGGTATTTTATAATATAAATCAATATTTAATTTATTTTTCTTTGATACACATTTTAATATGTCATAAGTAGCAAAGTGTTAGTAAATAAACAAATGTTGTTACAGAAGTAAGTCAGGTGACATAAAACAAATAAAAACTAATAAGAACATTACCTATATTTTATCATATTGACACCATTGTCTGAATAAATCTTGATCAAATATAGCAATTTTTGATCTAAAATAAAAAAGTTTGTAACGAGCATTAGTATATGCTTTGTTGTTATCATAAAATGTTTTTAGTTACAATATTTGCTGCCTTCAAGATGTGACAAGAAAAATTAAAGGAATTCTTTTTATAAAATAGTGTCGTACTTATAGAACATTTTTGTCATTCCCACAAGAAACTAAAGAAATGAAATATTTAACATATTTTAAAGGGATATGTGGTAAAGGTTCAAAAATTAGAAAAAAATTAAACAAAAGTATGAGAATTACAAGAGGTTGAATAGAATAAAATTAAGTAGGGACAAGAATTCTATTTTTTCAGTGCTATTTAATATAATATATGAAATGAAAAAAAATAATACAATAACTAATACTGAAATTACAATTAACCATATAAATAATAAATCATTGGAATTTAAGTTTCAAAATTTTAACTTAGAAATTAAATAATTTCTTTAAAGGTCAAATGTAACATTTATTTAAATTCAAAGCTGTTAGAAGAAAAATCATTTTAAAAGATAGGAGGACAAAATGTCCAATTTTTTTAAATGGGAAATCATTTTTGATGCTTAGACTTGAAAGAAGAATCTACTCTTAAAAAATTTCAAAAATAAACAAGTGACTAAACTTAAACAGATAATTGACCAGACAAAATAAATGAAAAATTAAATATTTAAGTAAAAAAATAAATACTATAGTTATAAAACAGAGATAAAATTAACCCAGACCTGAACTTATTGTAAACATAGCATAATAAGCATCCAAACAAAAAATAATAAAATTGAATAAATTTACATGTTCATTAAATTTCTATAAGTAACTTTTTTACCTTTTAAAAAATAAAAATAAATTAATCTACTTTTTTAAACAGAATGAATAGCTGATTTGACTATTTTTAAAAAAGGTTATATAAAAAAATTTGAATTCTGATTAGCTTTCTCAGTCTAGGAATTCTCCAGTTTGTTTTGGCAAAAACAGAATTTACAAGTCTCTTACAATCAAATCACTGGGAGAAATGGTTAATACCGCTATCTTTAATTTGGTCAATATACTGAAGGTATTAATTTTCTTGCGACTGACTTTATACCATTAAGTATCAACCCCATCAAAAGAATGAAAAATTTTAGTTCTTAGTTGCATTATCACTCAAATTTTCTATTTTAATGTGAATTTAAGATATCATAAGCTTTGATAGCGCAGTGCTTTGTATATGCTTTGCTAAAAAATTGTTACACTTTTTTAAAAAAAAATTTAGTCAAAATTTCCAAATATTACTTTCTGGGCAAACTGCACACAGGTCCTCCGATTAATACACTTATTAGGAAAAAAGCCTGAAAGTTGACAGTTTTGCTAACCCAAAATGTAAGAAACAGTTGGTAATTACTCACCTATCCTAGACATGGTGCCATGGTATGCACCGAGAAATATTCCTATATGTTGTTCTTTACAGACTGAAACATCAAGTTTTGCAAGAACTGTCAGTAGTTCAATAACACCCTCTATTAAGAAATATAAACCAAAAGATCATAAGACAAGGAATAAGCAGTGCATAAAACAGTTTTATAACTATCAAGAATGATTAGGCTATAAATATTTAATAATCACGATTATAGCCAGTATTTTGATGACCTAAAAAATCCCCATAGATGCTATTAAAAAATGCCATTTTAAAGTAAAACTATTAAACTAAAACAATGTTTCCTCCTTGAAATTATACCCAATCATGTGAAAATAATTATATAAAAAAGTGCAATACATGTTCCATGTTCATGAAAGTTTAAAATAAATGTTATGAGTTGTTATGGCAAAAAAAAAGAAAATAAACTGACTCCTGAACATTTTCTTTTTGATGATCATAAAAACTTCCAATACTATATTAACATAAATGGGAGTATTAAACTGCAAAGTTTGTTTCAATAGTAGACAACACTAAATTATTTCCTAGAAAACTGTAATAAAGAATTATTTCTAAAGATTTTGCATCAATAACATAATGGGAAAACCTGATTGAAGGTGGTATGGTAAATTGCATAATAAAATGTCAAATTATAAGGGAAAAAAAATGCAGTCAATACAATTAAAATGACCCAAAGCTAAAGAAATAACTTTAAAAAAAGAGAGAGAGCATACCCCATAAAAGTATTTTTTTAGAGTATTTTTTTTACCCCATAAAAAAAATACTCTTAACATTAAAAAAAAAATTCTCCAAATTTAAAAAAAAAAAAAAAAAAAATTAAAGATAAAAATTTTAAAAAATGCAAATGTCTTCTAAGTGCAATCATTAATCATAAAATGAACCATCTTATACTCTTTTTATAGTATTGCACCAAAAAAAAAAAAACATGCAACTAAAATATGTTTGTTCTTTGGGTAGTTGGATATTAGTAGAAGATGAAAAGACTTTCTGATACATTTTATACCTTTTTATGCTACATTCAACATTGGATATAACCAAAACTACTTGTGAAGTATGCAATAGGATAAAATCTTGTGAGATAAATATTGTACATTATATATCAGGAAAAATGGGGGAAATAATATCCCCTCCCCAAAAAATTATTTTTAAAAAACTCAGGAGCTCAAAGGTATCTATGAAAATGGGTATTGAAATATGAATTTCATAAAAGAATGCAGCTATAACTTGAAATTATAAACTAGCCTATTTAAATTACCTGTATATTTAAAATAAACAAAAGCTCAAAATTACTTTTTTTGTAACCAGTTGATATTTATTCAGCTTATTTTTCTTCTAATTGCTACAAAAATTGTTCAGTAGGTTGAAATTCATTAAAACTTCTTAAGTAAGAATCAAAAGGAATTAAATGCAGTTCAAAGTTTAGAGCTTCTAAGCTCTTCAAACTTTTAAGTTATTGTAATGCTCAAAAGTTATGAACACAATTATAAATAAATATGTTATTAAAAAATTACCTTTTAAGCTTGCATCATTTTTCACATCTGTTAGAATTATATTGAAAAAATTTGAGTGTCCAATGACTAAATCATGCAGATTTTGAACTGGCAAATTAACATTTCTTGATTTTGCACACAAAACAGACAAAATCTTCAAAATTTCTACCCCAACTCCATCACATCTATAAAATTAATTTGGAATTAGCAAAACATAAAAACTAAGCATTCAAAATCTCAAGTACAATAGGCGTTGATTAACTTCAGATTTTTACCAGTTGAAAGAAGTAGAAAACTTTGAGTAAATAAAGACATGAACAATTTTTCTAAAAGCTTTAAAAACATTGAAATGGAATTCAGACATCAGAAACATATTTCTTAATTAGTGTTATCACTATTATGAATATGCAAAAAAAAGAATTAGCATTAATTATATTTGTACTAAGCTTTGTATTGCACTGACGTTTTATGATATACTAGTAGGCAGAGCCTCTGTTCATTGATGCTTAACAGCCATCATGAATGCTTTGCAATAATTTTCGTTTTTTGACATAGAAGTTTTCAAAAATTGAAATAATTCATTTTAACTGTATATGCTAAAGGAATTCTACTCATGTTTTCCATGTCCATACAAATCGTTTATAATTCTGCTAATCCCTTCCCTGATTATTTCGAGATAACTCGGGTATGTACATATTGTAAATATTTACTATCATAAGAAAACTTGGGCGTAGCAGAATTTGTCAGAACGTTTTGTTTTATGACGTGTTTAATAGGCCAGAAACAAAACAACAAAAATAAATAAATAAAAATCTGCAGTGATTGGAAGTTTGCCAAGTTTTGTTTGGGAGTTTTACATTTACTGTTAGATTGTGGGACTACACATGTGTTTTATGTGATTGCATATGTGATAATTGCTAAATTTACATAGAAAGAAAAGAGTATAAAAATAGCATATCATTTCACTGGCATTTGGTAAGTATCACTTTGTCCCTTGTTTTAAAAACTATCATACAAAGACAAATATTTAACTTTTTTCATTTGCCCGAGATAATTCAGGATAGTAAACTGATGGTAAATAAAATGTTTTTTACGCATAAAAAATTAAAATCTCAACTTAAAACTTGTGTATTATGTTTTGTTTCAGTGCCTTGTATTTATTAACTAAATAAAAATTAAGTTGATTTTTTTGCATTAAAATCTATTTCTGAATATATTCCTTTTTCTTAGCAATCATTTAATTAAAATATTATTAAAATGTAAGCTTTATTTTCATAACAAATTTCCTCAGTTATCACTGCAGCTTCATATTTCATTTTATATGCCATGAACAATGATATCCATTCTATGTCACAATTTATAATGGCATCATTTCATAAAAAATTTAAAAACAAGTTGTTTGTTTATTTTGTTGATTGTTTATTTTTGTTGTTGTTTGTTGATTGTTTATTTTTTATTACTTTAATACAAATCATTATAACATATAAATAAAACAATGTTAAAACTAATTTTAAAAACACAAGTTTTTACAGAGGGTCATCTTTACAGGCAAAAGAAGATTGTATTTTGTCTCAAAATTGCAGTTAGTTAAAATAGTTCCTATTTGGATGGTATCTATGAAATTAAAGATAACTACAATAAATACATATATATGTCAAAAATTCTGAAAAAAATCCATTATCTGCCTCAAACTTAGACTCTTTTAAAAATTTTGATTTAATTTTTGGTAGTTATAACAACTAATTAAAAGCTTTTTTCGACAATAAAAATTTAATTTAGTAAACACATTTAATAATAATGCAAAAAAGCAATTTCCTATCATGTTTTGCAATTTTTTAAAAGATAAGAATCTGATCATGAATATTTAACTAATTTATTATTTTACCACTTGGTAAACAAAATACAGTCCTTTTTTCTGTTCGTTTTGTAAACAAAGATCTTTTTTTAAAAATTATTTATGATTATTTAAAATATTGTTTCTTACATTTCTACTAAATTATTTGTTAAATGTTTGGGGGAAAAGTAAAATAAAGTAATAAGTGAAATAGCTAGAAAAACCTAGCACTGGATATTAGACAATTTTATATGCACCAAATTTTACTTACTTCATTGATACTTTTAACGCTTTTTGGAAAAAAGGAATAACATCAAGAAAGTCAGATAAAGTTATTTCATCTAGGTCCTGGAAGAAAATAATAAAAACATACTTAAAATATCTAAATAGTAGTAAAATTATTGAAATCTTTATAATTTTTTATCTCTTAGAGGCTATGAAAATTCGCTATTTTGGAAAATCTTTAAAAAATGAATAGTTTTCCCCATCTTCAAACATTGCAAGAAAAAAAAAACAAATTCTTTCCTTTCTAAAAAATATTCTTTAGTTTAATACTGAAAAAAAACCTAATACATGAATAATGATTTTATTATAATATTAATGACTTTTTTTAAAATTAAATATTGATATGAGGAAAGCGTTACAACTTTATGAACAAAATGACTAATCAAATTACAAGAACAATTTCAATCGAATATGAAATAAACATTTCATACTCTTGATACTAAAAAAACTACTGAAGCATTAAAATAAGTGGAATCAGATGTGCCATCTAACCCTAGGTTAAAAACATTTCTCGGAAAAACAATTGATTTTTAAAAATTTAGTTCTCCTTGTAAACTTAGCTTTGTTCTTCTTTTAATAGTGAACATTTTGTTTTGCTCAACTAAAAATAGCTAGCTAACAAAACTTTTCGGTTGTTGATTAGATTGTAAATTTTTAATTCAGTTGATTGACAATAAAATTCACATTTTTCAGATTCAAATTTAAAAAATTAAATTCCATTTTTCTAATAACTTGTCACCATATATTTTAACAAACAACTTGTCACCACATACTATTTTAAACTTTTCATCTAACAAATAAAAAAAAAGATTTTTAAAACTGATTTAGTATCTTGAGGAAATATAAAATATTAGCTGTATAAAAGGCTAACATAAAATATAGAAAGCCACTCAACACACAATGCAAAGTAAATAATAAATATAAATTTAAATTTTAAATCCAAACACTATAATAATTTATTAAAAATAAATATAAACAAATAAACAAACAAATATAAACAAATAAAAAAAAAAGATTTTTAAAACTGATTTAGTATCTTGAGAAAATATAAAATATTAGCTGTATAAGAGACTAACATAAAATATAGAAAGCCACTCAACACACAATGCAAAGTAAATAATAAATATAAATTCAAATTTTAAATCCAAACACTATAATAATTTATTAAAAATAAATATAAACACACTGCTCATTACAAACAATACACATAAAGGTTATAATAAGCACTAAAAAAGGAAATTTTGTTACTACCTGGAGTATATTCTTTATAGCAGCAATCAAATCAATATATTCTTGAAATTTAGGTAAACAGATTGTCATCCATGAAAAAATAATCTGCAAGACAGGAATTAAGCTTTTGCCCTTTTCACATCTTTGAGTTTTCCATATTTTAAGAAGTTGAAGCAACACAGACATTTTAGATGGAGCAGGAGCTGATTCTAAACTTTTTGAATCTCCAAGAAGGGATTTCCAAAACTTACTCAACTTCTTAGAAGCTAAAAATAATTGAACAACATTAAACATACATTAATGAATGTTTCTAAAGAGATATGAAATTTTTTTAAAATCAATCTAGAAGGGAAGATGCTCAATCATTTACAGGGAGCGAACCATAAAAACCAAATTAACATGGTGTGGAGCAACATTAACAGGAAGCTATGATCATAACTGAAGTGAGAATATTAGTCTCTGTTAGAAAATAAAATGGTTAACTTACAAATGTCTAATTTTCATTACTTGCATTTAGAACATAAAATAAATATTATATTTAATGCAAATAGATCTGTATTTATTTATTTGTATGTAATTACATGGCTGCTAGATGTTGTTACAAAAAAAAAATTATAACAAAAGAATAGGTATACAGAAAAAAGAAGAATAGAAAATTAAAACATTTTCCTTTACCCCAGAAAATTTTTAAATAAAGTTGACTAATATTTAGAAAATAGACTTTCTTAGCAATACAATATTCAAGATAATTATAATGTATTTGGAATTAGTTAGAATCTGGGACTCCTAAAAAAGGTTGAGCTAGTTCCATAATTTACTTTTGCATAGCACATATGGAAAAACTACTTTCATGTTTCTTTTATAATTTTTTTAATTATTTCAAACAGTTCAGAGGGCATGTCAAAATACATTATGGGCATGGCAAGTCATAGGTATCATTCTTATCAAAATATTAAAATAAAAAAAAAACGAATTATAAAAAGCTTACAAATAAAATTTTCTTGCAGCAGATTTTGAACAGCTTTATCTGCTTTGCAGAATTTAAAATTTTCTACTTCCCTCTCTAATTCTTCATTAAGAAACTGAGTAATACTATTCCAGAATACATCTGAGATGGTAGTTTTAAATTTCTGATCTTGCTCATCTTCACTATCACACATACTCAGACATCTACTGGTGAGGAACATGAAACTGAAGTTGTTAAAATCTTCAGTAATTTCTCCAAGATGTACTTGAGTGAGTTGGCGAAGTTCTTTATTGAGCTCAATTAAAGCACCTAGCACATTTAGGTCTTTATCTGACCTGTGTTCTAATAGAAGCCAGAATGAATCTGAAAAAAATAAAAATAAATAATAAATAAATAATAATAATATAATAAAAATGAATGAATAAAATATTTTCCTAATATCAAGATGTTTCATTTTAAATTGACCTTTCTTATTTTTCTTTCACAAATCAAAGATTGTCATAACAATTTTGTCAAAACCAAATCTGACCATTCTGTCGAAACTATCCCAGTCAAATTGCTGCAATTTTGAGGAGGGAAAAAAATGCATCTTTCAGATGAATTTTCATTTCAGCGAAAAAGTCACAACCAAAAAACATAGACAGCTCCCCCCCATAGTGTTATAAAATATTTTTCTTAGAAATTAAACTTCATCAAAACAACTTATTAAACACTACATCTTTTCCTTACAAAAAGAGAAAGTTTGAATAACTCCAGTTTTTGGATTTACAACCGATTGAACCTTTTCTATTTTTTTTTTACATTTGACAACAAATTTTAATGTTAGAGAAAATGCTCCACCACCTCCAAGTTTCAGAAATTATCCAGCAAATGTAATGTATTTATGATCTAGTTTTGTCTACTTCTAAAAGCTTATGAAATTAGAATTCTTTAATTATGATGCATAAATTTATAAAAAATTTTTATTGAGTTTGTAATCTAGTTTAAAGTCAATGAAATGCAATCTCTCCCATTTAAACTTGTTGTACTAATAACCCATTATGCACATACGAGCACACACAAACAATGCAACACACACAATTTTTAACAATATATTTACTGAATGCCTTTGAAAAAATAATAAACAATGAAATAAACAAATACATATGCTCTTTTAGGGATAAAAAAAAGCATGTGTTTTCTGTGTGCAAAAAAATTCTTGCAACAAGTCTTTTTTTATATTTTTAAGAGTTGTTATAAAATTAAATCAAGAACTCACCTTTATTAACATGTAAACCGTAAGCTGGATGTTTGTGGAAGACTTCAAGAAATATATCAATAAAAATCTTCTTCTGCTTTTTGGACATAGCAGAATACTTCAAAACTAATGAATCAACACAAGATGGAGATAAAGTAATGAAATTCTTTGTCTCAAGATATTGCTTCACAAGCAACACTAACAATGAGAATGATGATTCAGATTGCTGGACATTTGGCAAATTTTCAAGTAAAAGTACAATTTCCCGGCTTGAATAGAATGATGAGAAAGCTCCTATTATAGAAAGTAGATCTAACTCATCACATTTTAAATTACTAGAACTTTCATGGATGTAATTTAAAACTTTTTGCTTGTATTTTCTGATATACAAATGGTGCTCTTCTTTATTAAAACTCATCATATCTTGAGTAATATCTAGCACAAGTTTTGTAATAGTCCTAGAAGCTTTTTTCAATAATTTAGAAATACACTTAGGGGTATTTTCAGTTTGTAAAAATAACTTCAGAATAGCAGGGTGAGAGAGTATCTCTCCTTCTAGGTTTATTTCTGCATTTTTAGATGAGATATCACTTGATTTCTCCATATCAAAATTTTTGTGCTCTTCCTTTTGAAAGTATGGTTTCAAAGAACCATATAATTTTTGAAGGAAATCTATAAATATCAACAAAGAAGACTCCTTATCTTGAAATTCCTAAAATAAAAAAGTATATGAAATTATTAGAACTTAAATAAATAAAAAATAATAAAAACACAGTTTCGTAAATATTGATTCATTATGATTTTTTTTTCTACAGTTAATTCAATAATGTTTATTCCTGAAAAATTGGTTATCTATTAATAGTCAACAAAATTCTGTTCAGCTAAGAAAAACCCTATGCAAGCATTCTAATCTTTAAAAATATTGCCAATCTCTAAATTATTTTAGGACCAATTTATTGTTCTTAGATCAAAAAAGGCAATCTAGTATAATTAGAAAAGAAGTTAGAAACAGAATCATAAAGTAGTAAGTAATTTTTTCTGTATAAAAAACATATATGAGCTAAACCTTTAGAAAAATATCATATTTGAATTATGTAGACAAATTTTTTTTTTTCTCTGAATAGATGTTTCTAAAAAAGTCAAAAATAAATTAATGTCAACATTTATAAATGCTTTGGGGGGTAAGCAAAACAGTTGTTAATTATCATTATTTTTTATTAACTAAGGCGAAGGTTCACAACATTGATACTCAGCGTGCATTAATAATGAATGTTGAATAAAATACAGTTAAAATATTATTTCTCAATTGCACATTGTGATGTTTTACACCAAATGAGCATTTAGTATAAGGAGAAGAATAAAACAGTGTTTCTTGTAACATAGGAAATGTACAGCAGCACACAAGTTGTAAACATAAGGTCATCTTTATCAAAACAAAATCTGTGAGTGACAGCCAAAGTAACACATACTTAGTAACACACTATTGGTCATTATACAGGAACCAGTAACAGTTTGAACACAAAACGATTCAACTAGGAAAGGTAATGTTTGTAACATGCCCAACAACATGAGCTAACACCCAAGCATTCTAACTAATGTAGTTTGACATTTCAAACATAAGTTTAAATGTTCATTCCTCATGATTCAGAGTATGCGGGAAGTTTCCCTTGGATTGAGAACAGTAACATAACATACCTCAATTAATTCCATCTATCATTAAATTACTCTGCAACTTCAAGTGGACATCAACAAGGCAATTATACAGGTTCTAGTCACTAGTCTAAAGATAATATGACACATTCTAATCTACTATCTGGATAAAAGTGTGAAAGAAAACACCTAATAGTTGGTATTTATCCTATACCTAATTTATATGAAGTCAATGTCAACAACTGATGCCTGAAAATTATTAGAACTTACATGAAAATAAAAGTGAATTCTTACTTATGACGATAGCATAACTGCCAACTTTTATGTATTTGGTGTAAAATTTTATTTCTATATTTAAAGTGGTAGTAAAATGTATGCTTTCTATATATTCCCTGTATTTATAAACTAAATTTATAATCTTTTCGGCCACCACTATTCTTAAAAAAAATTAAGCATACATATTACTGTTGTGGTAGTCCAAATAAGCTCTTTTAAAAATACAGTGTATGTTTCTGCCTAAAATTGCAATTTAAATTCCATTTTACTACCACTGGGGAAAATCATCCTCGAAAGGATTAATAGATGGCTGGTATGCAATAGCTCTGCCAATGAGAAACTAACATGTGGCTACCAAAAAGGGTATAAACATAAGTACCAAATATAAACAAATGTAAATTGACTAGTAATGTCAATAGACCAACATATTTGATGTCGATCCACAGAAAGTTATAATCTGCAGATGTCTGTTTTCAGTCTGTAAAACATTTTTCTTAATTCAAGATTCGTCATCAAAGCACTAGTTGCTGGTTAAGAGTGAAATAATGATGAATATGAAAAATATTTAGGACCACCACCAAAGTAACTCCAAATGTTAACATTTGCTAGATTTTGAACTTTCATGGTAACACAAATATAAAAATGAGATTATTACAAATCATTCATTCATACAAAATACACACTAACAAAGGGTTAAACGTTAAGAGTACACTAACATAGGCACTGGACTGTTTTGATTGTCTGTTTAATTTGAAAGCCTGCAATCAATTTAAGACCAGTGTTCCTCCAAGTATTGTATTTATGTAATGTTGATCAATATTTACAAGAATTTAGAGATGTTAATAACATTATTAAATTCTTGTAATTTTCCAATGGGAAAAAAATTCTATGAAAGATTTATAGGATTTTGAATAACATATAGTACGGCAAGTAATAATTATCTTTCTCTGCTACACTCATTTTAATTAGATTTCTAAGTACACCTACAGAAAAAAAGTTCAACTTACAAGTAAATGTTTCAATTCAAAATTGATGTATGATAACAATTGCCAAAGAATATTTCGTGCAGAGTCCTGATTTGGATTGAAGGATGTCATATCTACTGTACAAGAACAAGCATTTCCTTTGTCAGATTTAAGCAAAATAACAAATATTTGTTGCAGGTGTTCACTTAGATTCTTTTCACATGCATCACTTTGTGTCTTTGATATCAATGAATCAACCTAAAAGAAACAGTATTAAATTAATTTAATTATAGTTTGCAATATGAAAAATAATTAAGAAATTTATAAATTATAGCATGATTTGTTGATAAATGTTGTTGAGGCAATAAAGCTATAAAAAAAAAAGCAGAAATAAGAAAATGAAAAGAAAAAAAGTACAAGTAAGAAATAAAATCAACTGAAAGTTATAAATAATACTAATAAAATAAAGAATACTAGTAAATATTCTTTATTTAATTATTCTTTGTTAATTGTTCTAGTTTAATAATATATAATACAAAAAATACTACAAATAAAACTAATAAATAATAAAATTACAAGCCGAAAAACACATATTTTTCCAAACAGTAGATAAAAATTTACAATAATTATTTTGATTTACAATCTTATTCCTGTTTATAAAAATGGTCACAAGTTCAAATTTATAATTAACATTATAAAAAAATTTTGCGATTTGAAACTTAAAAATGTGGAAAAAGTACCAAGTATATTTGGCAACAGAAGATTTTAACACTTCTAAATTAGATACTCAATTATAGTTTTCTATATCTATGTTTCCTTGGGTTCTCTTGGTTGGTTGGTTGGTGTCGTATCCTCTGTAGAATCATATTTCATGGTGTGCTTGAATAGTTTTTGTTATTTCTATGGCATTAAAAGAATACAAATCCTCTTCTGTTGGGTTCTCTTGGTTTGCTGAATATACATTCACATAGGTTTGCTGAATATACATTTCACATCCATTATAAGAAATGCAATATATGCCATATTTCCAAAAGTCTAACATATGAGATTTCATGGCTGGAAAGCTATATTTATTGAGTTAAAAATAGTAAGTGCTCTAAGAAGTTTTAATAAATATCTATGCTCTCAACACATGTTTTGCATTCTTTACTAATTCTTTATGTTAACAAAATGGTATTTCTTAACTAATAAAAAAAAATCAAGGAAATCAAATGCCCATATATAGACGTTGAAGGAATACATCAACATAGAAATTGAATTATGCTAATAGCACACACATATAGTACTATGTAATTCAAAACAATTTTTGCACTATCTTACACAAAAGTTTAAGATAGTAAAAGAATTGTATTTAGTAAGATCTTATCCTACACTCCATTATTTTTTAAATGGCTGATCTTATCAGTCAAAATCAAAATGTTCATCCCTTATTTAATTGAAGTAGATAAGATTTTGTTTATTTTTTGAGTTATTATTTTGAGTTATTATTTTCTCAAATTTCTCATTTTTTAACTCTTAAAAATAACAATTTTATAAAGAAACAAAACAAAATAATTAAGTATTGTTTAGATATGTAATCGTAATATTAAATCATATAAACACTGGTAAATGAAGATCTAAAGATGTATTACTCTTCTATAATTAGAAATTTGAGTTTATCTGGAAAATATTAAAAAATAAATATTAAAAAAAAAAATTGTTTCAAATTACACTATTAACAGGTCTTTGCCCTACATACACATTGCATCCACAATTGAAACTGATATTTTAATGCAATGTATTATATTATATAGCATTAATTGCTAATCAAATAATAGTAAAATAATATCCAGATAAAAGGTTACCAATAAATAAAACTTCGATAATAAAAAATATAAAAAAATAAGTATGATGTTTCCAAATCAGCGAATACATTTTCTACTTATAGCTTAATGATTCACTCACTCTAGCTGCACTCATTCTTTAATATTTATTAACAGGTGCTAATTTATTTTAATAAATTTGTAATTTGTTTCAGGAAAAAAATATTTCAAAATGAAGAGAAATAAATTGATGTAATTATTTGTAAGTGATAAGCTATAATTTTTAGTCATATAATATTTTTCCTTATGTTTTAAATAGAAAAAGGAAAGTTTGTTTCGCCAAGACAAAATATTTCTTTGCATAGGATTAAATGTAGAGCTTAATAGCACAAATACCATATATAGCGATGTTGTGCTAAATTGAACATAACAAATGAAATGGAGTTTAACAGTTTAAAATATAAACAGTTTATAAAATTAGGTATCTCGTTTCAGAGGGGGCAGAAAAAATTATCATCAAGGAATTATCATTATATTATCATTGTCAGGAATATTATCATTAGTACCACCTAATACCACATTGCAAGCAATAATTATTACCAAAATCAATTAAGCATCTAGAACATAGATTCTCAACCTTTTTAACGTTGCCGCCCCCTTAATAAGCAAAACACATATCAACGCCCCTCTTTGTGATAATTCAGTTATTTAGAGCATGAGGACGGAGGGGGTGTGCTGAATTATAAGATGCATTTTTAGGCAATTTTTTAAACGTTAAATTTGCTTGTTTTTTTTTTAAAAAATATAATGTGTACGTTAACTCAATAATTTTCTCCAGGCAGGTAACCACAGTCTATTTGTCATAATAAAAATAAATACGGTAATGAAAAAAAATAGTACAACAAAGAAAACTATACTTAAAAAGAGCCACCTGTTCTTAATTAGATAATTAAAAAAACACCCAAAAATAAAAGTAGTATTAACGAAACAATCAAGTTACTATGTCAGTGGAATGATTGTACTTGATGGTTCATAGCCAATTTCTAAACGTTCGGCTCAATATTTTTGCTGAGGTGAAGACGCAAGTCCCCTCGTTGCATGATTTCGTGTCTATTTCTCTTTTTTGTGACTTGATCCATAACAGAACTGAATCCACGTTCGACGAAGTAGGAGAAAGTGAAGGAAATTGAAAATAAGAATGAATTTTGACAGTCCAGAGTTAGCAGCTGATGTTACCTTGAAGCCAAAATTCTGTGAGTTATCACCATTTCAAAGCTTCATTAGTTGAAAGTTTGACCGATTCCTCCTGTATCTGAACCTCTTCTATTTCAATATTCAAAAAAGGGTTAATAACCCATTGAAGGAAGCAGAACAAAACATATTTATAACGGTCAGAAAAGTACATGTGCAAAGAGTCAAGATATTAACTATATTCTTGTGTATCATCAGAGGAAATTTCGCCATTCTTTTCAAGATACGATAAGATTTTAAATTGGTTGAACTCATTCCAACCAAATTTCTGCTACCAAAAAATAAGTTTTTTTAGAAATGTAGAAATAACTGATTTCGTAGGGATCAAATTGAGTTTGTCACCTTGAAGTTGCAAATTAACACCATTTAATTTTGCAAGTAAATCCACCAACGTTTATCTTAAATTCTAGCAATCTGTCTCTCAGAGCTACATTATGTCTCCGAGGAACTCAAGCACAGAGTCGAAAATATTCAAGAACCTATTGAGACAAGGCTCCTTTGGAAAGCCAGCGAATCACGGTGTAGTAGCAAGCGATATTCTTCATAGTTTTTCTTAAACAGCTGTCTGAGTAATCAATCATTGAGAACATTACTGAGAATTTTGTTTGCAGCAGATATAACATATTGCAATGACTGATGCAAACGGTAGCTGAGGTTTTTTCTTATTAAATACTGCCTGTGAATCACGCAATGAACTGCTAAAATATCTGGTACCACCCTCTTCAAAACGGCGAAAAACCCACCATGTCGACCCACTATTGCAAGGGATATTTTTGATTAAATCGGATGAGGCTTGATAGTGTAAAACTGTTCCTAAAACTTGCTTAACAGCCGGCAGTATCAATTATTTGCCGACGGCATGACATTTCCCAGATTTAGCAATTAATTTTGATATATTATAAGAACTTATCAAACCATCATCGCATTTTTGTGATTAGGTTGTCAGTAAGCCTGAGGCCAAAGGTGCCTTCAGAAACTTGTCTTTGATATTCAAGAAAAATGACAAATCTTTATTTTGTTTGTGAGGATGAATATTTTGCAAATGCTTCTGCTAACGAGAAGGCTCCATTATCTCATTATATTAAACTTTGTTATAAAATAAATTTATGGGTAGTTGAGAGTTCGAGGGCAATTGAACAAATCTAAACTTCAAGTACGTGACACTGTATTGAATACACTTGTTTATGTTAACCGACATTGTTGGTGGCAGCAAAATACGAATGAAAGAAAATCAACTGTTTTTTCAAATTAATAAATAATTTACGATTAAGAACTAATTCACAAACGCACCTGACCAAATAAACAATGGAATCGAATCGAAACTGGGTAAAAAACTGCTAGGAAGCAAACTAAACCATCATAAGAAACACGGGTCAAATCGAACTTTTTACAAAAAGCGCATGCACTTTAATTCTCACCAAATGGCTGAAATGAGTCAGAGGCAAAAACTACTGACTCATGCGCTGCGCTTACTTACTTACTTTATTTAAAGACAACTGGGCACCTGGGCCGCGCAGCGGCCTCTATCCCATTCATCATGAAATTACAACAATGAGTTAAAAACATTTTGAATATAAGCAGTCGTTGTGGTAGCTTCACAATAATATTTCCATGATTAGAGAAAATACAAACTTGAACAGAGATATTTACAGTAATTGCCTATGCGCTGTGCTGATTCGGATAGGAGAATATGTATTGCATAAGTTCGTTTTACTGCTGGTACTAATGTTGTATCAGATAATCTAAATTTATTATATTAATTTAATCTTTGTTTTCTTTATTATTAATTTTAGATTAATTTTATTTACTAAATGATTCTTAATTTAATAATTTTATTTGGGAGTATTAAAATTAAATTTGAATAACATAACAAGCTCATCGCCTCCTACCGCCCAAAACATACCTAATGCCCCCCTGCCGCCCAAAACAAGTCCACCGCCCCTCAGCATACTCCCAACGCCCCCGTTGAGAAACACTGATCTAGAATATAGTACGGAAAGTTTTTAGGGTCCCACGAGATGGAAAAGTATCTAAAAGTATTATTAACTAGTGAAAATTACTTGAATATCTCTTTTTAATGAATGGAGCAAGTCGAAATATGCAAATGTTGTTGAATCAAGAGAATCTTCATATTTCTTAACTAATTCAAATAGAGTTTCGGTTGAAAATTGACGATGAAGTACCAGAAGTAGAGCATTTTCTACAAAAGGTCTGCAAACTATAAAAAAAGAACTTGATATTAATCAATACAATCATATGCAATTCGTTTTCTTAAACATTTTAGAAAATAATTTAAGTTTTTCACGACTAAATTTATCGTTTAAAATAGATATAATATCATTAAACTTGAAAATCATTTTTAATAGGCTAAAAGTGAATGAAGAATGCGACTTTAGCAAGATTGATTGAAATTATCTATTCATAACAATTTACGTGAAAACTAATGGATTTTTCTGGTTTGTAATATAATATCATTAGAATACAATTAAAATCAGAGCAAATGCTCAAACGTTAGTAAAGAAAACAAACTAATTTTTACAATTTATATACATGTTCTTCATCCTGTGCTTATTTTATATGCTTTTTTCTTAAGATTATATATTATTTATCTTATTTCCAATTTAAAAAATATTTATTATACCTTTTTTCTTAAAATATACCTTTTTTCTTAAAATTAATTATATTACTTGGAATAAAATAAATCAAGTTATTTTAATCAATTTATTTAATCAGCATTTTAACGATAAATATATTGCTATGACAATAATATTAGTTAATTAAGACAAACAGCATTTTAGAGCACTAAAACCTCAAAACAAATAAAACTATCTATCATAATATTAATCATACACTTAAGAGTTACTATTATTCGAGAAGATAATAAACTTAAATAAATATATATATATATACATAAAAAACAATTTTAGTTTACAAAAATGCATTGTAAAAGAGTTATATACAAATTATTTATAGGGATCATATTTTCAATGGCAAGCATTACTTCTCCATCTATATAACTATAGCATTATTTGCAACAACAAAAAAATATAAAATAATTCGGATTCTTTTGAGAAAACTAAACAAACCTTGAATTAATGGGATTTTACTACACTGTAGAAAATTATCAACACCATTTAAAATAATGTATAATAATGAATTAATTGGAATGAAGAGATTTGGCAATTATGCAATGATTTTTTCAAATTTTTAAAAATTCACTGAAAATGCAAGAAATAAAATAGATAAAAAAAAAAAAAAAAAAAAAAAAAAAAAAAAAAAAAAAAAAAAAAAAATTCTGACAAAAATTCCACAATCTTATATGCTATTAAACATACCTTTTTTATCTTTCTTATTCAGAGATGCAAATTGTTGGAGAATAGCAGGAACCAAATTACTGAAACAAAACCTAGAAAGAAAAAAAAAACAGTTTGGAAAGATAATTAGCTTTTAACAATAAAGATTGGTTGAAACAGCATTGCCATATGTTCGATTGTTATCCAATTTTCAAATTTTGAAAAAAATCACACAGCTTCTATCAAAAATTTAGAATGCCAATAAAATTAAATAAAGCAAATTTTTTTTGAACTATAAGAATCTGTGTTTATTTAATTTATATACATTAATTTTTTTAAAATACATGAAATATGACTACAGCCATTTCAGTATTAAAAATATATGATGAACTAACAGTAGTTAGTTGGTCTAGTACCATGAAATTACTTTTATACCAATTGAATAACAAAGTATTAAACAAAATACTAAAGTTGCATACATAACCAAAGTTAATTCACCATTTACAAATCATAAGAGACAAAAATTGTAAGCAATTTTATTACACAATGGTAGCAAAAGCTGCAAAATAGAATAAAATAAGACAAAAAATTTTCCTCTAAATAGTAACAAATTTAAGCTTACCTTTCTGATGAATATTCGATTGGCTCAACTTCTAAAGCACCACTATGATCATCATTATCCTCATCTATAATGCCTATAAAATGACAAGATAAGTTAATGCACAATTAACAAATCTATGTACATAAAAAAATTAAGCACAATAATTTTGTTAATAGTATTTTACATACATTTAATTTTGAGGCAAAATTTAATCAGGTTTGTATTTGTTATGTTCGCATGTTAGAAAGAAATCAAAGACATTTCATACTAACTGCCTTTAGCAAGCAGCTTTGATAGACTTGCTGCAGAGCATCAAGTCTATCAAAAAGACTGATGAATCCCAAGATTACCCAACATAACAAAAAACTGTAACCTAAATACAAAATTAATTCAATTTAAAAGTTTATATAAAACATATATAGCGTGCTCTGTATATATCTTGAAGGCATTATAAGTTAGATACTAATATCTAATCTTATATAGATTTTGTATCCTTGTATAATGTTAAATAAATCCTGCTTAAGTTGTAAGAGGACATAACTTGAAGGTATCTTTAGTTAGATTAAAATCTTAAAAGTTACATAAGTTAAGATACCCAACTTATATTTAAAATATCTGAGAACTACTATTTAAGGTTTACATAATAAATTTGATAAACTAATCCAAATTTTTATAACCATAAAAAGAAACAAAATTGTCTTAGCTAGATATTATTACTTATTTTTATGAAATCAGTGGTCTCCTTAAGCGTCTTTTCAAAGGTGGCCTATGGGATATGTAAAGTCTTAACATTTGCAAACAACATTTCTTACAATTTTCGCCAAGATCACAGAAATGGAGATCAATAAAAATATCTTTACACTGGTTCAAAATATATAATTTTCCAATACAATGTAATTTTATTGTTGTGCTAAGTTACTATTCAATATTGTAAATCATTTAAATTATCTTAATAACATTAAAGATTTTATAAATGTTTATATTGCTAAATTTGCATTTCTGAATATTTTGTTTAATTATTTCAACACAACATTAATTTCAAATGAAATAAAGAATTTATTGTAATGCTAAGTATGTTTTCCCAAATTGATGTTGCCACTTACAAAAGTATGTGATAAAATATTCATGGCATAATAAACATTGCTATACAAACATGATAAGTAAGCATAACTCCTATTGGAAAATGTTACATAAAGTGAATTTTCAATGAAAACACGGAAATATTAAACTAATTTTTCCATACAAACCTTTTAACATTTCTAAAGGATCAGTTATTTCATTGATGCTATTTACAGGACCCTGAACATCAAATGATTCAAATGAAACAAGGTTTGGTTGAGCAAGAGATACTTTAAGTGAATCACTTAAAAGTTCAAATACTGCAGATAAATCTTGAGATTTGGTACTTTTGATTGCATCTAACCACACTTCAATTTCCCATTTGCAATTATCAAACAATTTTGTATGCCAGAGAACCTGCAAAAATCTTACAATTAGAACAAGAAGTTATATATCACGTTTGTGATGTAATTTGTTTGTTATAACATCTTACTTTGTGTATTAAGTGTGTAGCCATAAGGATTTCTTCCGGTTCTTCAGCTGTTAAATAAACATCCAACACAGGCGGAAAAGGAATACTTTTTGAATCCTGAAAATTAAATTATCATTTAATAAAAGCCAAATGCTGTAGAAACAAATACAAAGCCATTTTCATAGTCAATGACATTATACAAAGTCATTGACAATAATGATTATTTATAAAGATTTTATTGATGTAGAAATTTATTAAAAGATTTATTGAGCATATCTAGACAGACCCAGAAATGTTATATTACAAAAACTTCAATAGAGTATTCGCTGCCTTTTAAAATCCTGCCTGTTATGAGGAACATTTGATTTTATAAAACAGCTGATTTTATAAACCGGAGCACCACATTTTACAAAAGCACTTAAACCCAAATTGATTACTAAATTTATATTTTATTTTTACTGAACCTACATTTGACATTTTGATTAAACATTAGCTATATTTTTTAAATTTGCAGAAAGATCTTAAAATATTAGCAGAATTGTTTGATTAGCTAAATTTAAATCAAAAAGTCAACATGGTTTGAAAATTTATAAAAGTTTTAGAGCTTTCAATATTTCCTTTTCTTAACTGTAAAGTTCATTTTAAAATATTGAGTGCTTTATTGACATCTATTGAAGGTAGATTTACCTTATTGAATTTGTGAAGATCATCGCCATTGAATGATAACAGGCATTCCATAATTTTTCCTAATTCATGAATTGCTTTCATTTAGATTCCTTAACACTTATTATTTTATAACTCTCACCCTTCAATTTCCCTAAGAAATGTCATCCACATCTGCAACTATGTTTTTTTCCTTTCTTTTGTTTTACAAAACCATGATCATGATTTTATAAAAGGAATGCATTAGCATGTTTTGATATGGTAATGATTCAGTTTAGACCTTTTAATTTTTTAAAACTTTATGATAATTATTCTTCATTTTTAGATTTTTTTTAATTTTTATTTTTTTATTTCTCTATTCTTGTCTGTTGCAGCTTATTTGCTCACAATTCTTTTCGCCCTTTTCACTATTAGTTTATCAGCATATGTTTATCAAATTAAATTTATGTTAGAAAACAAAGCAAAAGAAAAATAAAATTAAGCCTTATATAAAATAGACATAAAAAAGCTAAACATTTATTTGCATTGACTAAGAGTTTGAATAAGGGCCCCCAAACAATTATGAGCATGGCCCAGTTTTTGTTAGAACATTGTACAGCCATTTCTAGGAGATAACAGTTTCTGGCACAATAGACATAACCAATCAGAATAAGTTGGCTCAGTGTGCAAGAAAATGATAAAATGATATGAGTAAAATGACTTATTTTCTTTTGTCAACTATGTCATTATTGATATATTAGAGCATGATAATACATGTGGGTAAAATGACTTATTTTCTTTTGTCTACATTGTAATCAGTATTGCACAGTGTTCAATGCTGATGAAGGCATTTAATTTATCTCATACATTTCTAACCCACCAAACTTTGGATGAGCCTTGTGCTTTTTCTTTTTTGTTAAAAGTTTTAATGGTAAGTAGTATCCAACACTAAAGCAGTCTCATCAAATTTTAAAAACTTTAAACTTAGAGATTAAAAGTAGTTTTATAAATGATGTGGATAGAATCCAATAATGATGCAAAGATATAGCATTGAAGTAATTTTTTTCTATATTTAGAGAAAAAGGAAATAGCTTTAACTCATACAAATCTATAGACCAACTGTTTAAAAAAAAAATATTAAAAGTTGTCAAACAATTGTTGATTTTTATAGGTACTATTAGATATCAGTTATCTTAAACAGACTGCACATTGTTATGCAGCTTTGTCTTAGGTAACTTCAGGCACAGTGAGCTGCAAAACAGAAACAAAACGATTTTTTTTTTTTTTTTTTTTTTTTTTTTTTGTATTTGTAAAAATTCTTCAAGTCTGGCACAAGCCCAGTCTAAGTTCAACACTGCTGGCTCAAGAGCTGGGGGAATTAAGCTTGATATGAGAAGCTGACAAAACAATTGGCACGTATATGCAGTAAGGTGCACATTAAATCTGTTGCAGCTGAAAGTTCTCTATTGATATGGAAGTTTGGAAAGAAAGGTACTAACTCAGGTGCTTCCTGTGTCGTCTGATTGGGGCCTAAATTGCCTCGCATTCCCACCATGACTAATACAAGAGAGAGCCATACAAATGGGGCTATGGAGCTTAGCTATGGTTATGTGATGTGCAGTCTAAAGGCAGACTTAACAGCATAAATATTGAGTTGTTCAGAAAGTAATTTTGTTCTAATCTTATGAAAATAAAAGATTATTTTCTTATAGTGAATAAATATTTTATTGAAGTACACATTGTCCATTCTGGTTCGATACATTTTGCTATCTTTCTGGAAGTAGCATGATTCACAAAATTTTTGCTAGAAAAAAATTATCACAGGTGATTTTTGACATCCTTATTGAAAGTAATTGTTTTATCATTTCAAAATTTTTGTGGAGACCCGAACTAATATTATAAATAAGCCATTTCTCGTCCCCAGTGATTAGGGATCTAAATAGATCAATAGATCTTCAAAAATGGACCATTTTCTTGACATTTGAGAAGCAAATCACCGACATCTTTTAGAAAGAACATGAGGAATCTGTATGTCAATCTTTGAGAATGAACCAAGATGTTTTAAATCATAATGAATGGTTGAATTTAATAAATTTAATCTTTCAGCTATTGGAATTTAATCTTCATTGATTTGCATCAACTAAGGCCTTAATCATGTCTTTAATTGCACTTCCAGAATGTGGTGAATCTTCTACATCAAAGTTGCTGGATCAAAATTTTGGAAAAACCAGTTTGGGCAATGGTTTACTGTTTAATACATTGTTTCCATACACACCAGATAATTTTTTTTCTTCCAACCAAAAACTACTGAATAGAACCAATTTATCTTTTTAACAAGTAAGCTGATATCAGCAGTCAAAATTTAGAATGATTATGCAGCTTAAGTGTGAAGTTGGATAAGAAAAAATTAAATGTCCTCTGCGGGAAATTATTTCTCAAACGGGGATTATTTCTCAAACAACCCAAAGAAAATAAAAAGAATATTACACAACAAAGGTCAAATTACAGGACATAATAAACACACTTCAAAAAATAAGGATACATTTTAAATGTACTTTAAATTTATTCCCTCATAAAAGAACAGAATTTTTCTCAACTTCGAAAGGAAGCACATTTCAAGCAATCATGTTTGTATACTAATTTTAATTTAAATGCTTAATAAAAATACAGATTTGTATATTTCATTAACAATTTAAAATAATTGTTCATTTTTCATATTTGAAATTAAAAGCAATGTTATAAAATATACAATTTAATAGACCTTAATTTTGTACAACATAAATGCAGAAAAATATTACCTCTTTTGCTAAGAGAATAGTTCCTTGCTGTTGAGTAGCTATAAGATCTACAAGTTCTATGCGAACAAGCAAAAGTTCCTTTTTTGTCAAAGACTCAAACTTTTGCAAAGAGTGTAGCATTTGAAGAAAATTAAAACTGTGATTATTTTGTGAATTTTGGTATATTTCTTGAAAAACTTTCATTACTTTTAGTACAGCAAATAACTGTTCGAAGCAACTTGGCGAAGGAAAGCCTATAATAAAATGCATTGTCTAAGTGATTTAATTATTAGTTAGTAAAACACATAAAATTATTTTACAAAATTAATACAATTTTAAAATAGTTGGTAGCTTCTGAAGAAACTTTTAAAAACAAAAGAGAAATCTTACCACTTAAAGCTTCATCTTTCAACCAAATATTTTCTCCAGATACGATTTTATTCCAAAAACTTTCTAGTCCTCTTGTTATAGGTAAGTTCTAGAATTTGATGATTTCAAACATGAAATTAATTAAGTAGGAAAGTAAGACCAAAAATTGAATTCTTAAGTAATGAAAAATATCTTACTCGCAATGCTAATGGTAAAAATGCTTTTCGAAATGCAGCTAATTCAGATGGATCATATAAGTCTGAAGTTGGATGCTCACAGAAATCTAGCACAGATTTTATTTGCTCCAAAAGGCTTGATAAGTAATTACTAACATAGTACCCTAATACTGGATGACCAAGCTGAAAAAGAATGAACAACTCTTGAACTATTCACTTCCTTTTTTGATAAGGTTAAGCTAAATAAGGTTTAGATTAGGGTTAGGTAAAGTTAAATAAGGTTCTTTTCAAGAGCAATATTTTTTTCAACTATTTTGTTAATTTCTTAACTTTGAAAGTAACATCTGATGCAATGACAAAGTAAAACTTTTTAACACTTTAAACACGAATAATGTGTAAAAATTGAGTTGCTTGCATATACGTAGAGATGAAGAACAAAATTTCAGTAGGGAATACAGTAGGGAACCGATTATCCGGATCGATTGGGACCGTCGCTATTCCGGATAACTGATTTTTCCGGTTTTCTGAATCGCTACAAAATGCCGTTTTTTTTTACTGTTAAACCCAACTAAAAAAAAAAATATTTGGAAATAATCTTAAAAAGAAGAAAAACGATGAAGTAATACACTAATGATTATTTCCAAAATGATGGTAAGGTAAACATCTTTCAAAAAAGAAAGAAAAATCTTAAAATCTTATGAGGAAAAAAAAAATTTTTTTTTTAAATGGCGGGAAAATTTATCGAATTTTGTTCCGGTTTTTTGGTTTTCCGATTTCCGGATAACGGGTTCTGTACTGTAGTAAAGATTTCTAAAGGGATTTCTGAATTATTAAAAAAAATAATAATAATCATTTATTAAAGAGCAACTTTTGCAAAATTTACACCTTTATTAAAACTTTCTATTAATTTAAACATTGAAAACCTTTTTTTAATTCCTTTGTATTTGTCATCTTTACTCCATTGTATGTAGCAATAAATTTGAATAATGAGAGTAATTAACAAAGCTTATTTCAATGCAAAAAATGTCCCAGAAAAAAATTGCAAGACTGGACAGAAAATGTACCTGTATTCATTAACAAGAAAACAATCAAACACAGAAAATACTAAAAATAGTCACTATTAACATTAACCATTTGCTTATGGCTGGCACATGTGATGACACAACATGGTACACAGCAAGCAAAGGGTTATTGTAACATTGCGCTGAAGGGAGAGTAGCAACAATGTTTTTAATGTTCTTTGTAGCTTTTACATTCAAAGTAACAATTATTTTTTGAACAGTTTTATTTTGCCTACCTAGTGAACATATATTGAGAGCAAGCAAAAAATAAATAAAATTAGAAATTCAATAAAGAAATAAAAGAATTATTATACATAAACAAAAACTTACTATGAATGTCTCTTCTATAGTTGAAATACTTAGAAGACCAGGTAAACAAAATGTTTTGGAGATTGAAGTCAATGTGGGCATAGGAAATTTAGTTCCTGATTTAAATAAATATGAAGTTACATCAAGGGACCTGATTGCCTAGAGTAACGGACATAGTGATTAAAATATTATTTATAACATAAAATAAATTAAAATATTTCTTGTCTCAGTTATATATAAATTTTTTACCAAGATTTTAGGTAACCATGAAATAATTACATGTTCAACACAAAATAAAAACTTATCGTTTTTAGTTTTACCTTATTATATTAAAAATAAACATTACAATTTAGAATTTTTAAATTTATTATAAGGAATCTGAAACATTGTAATAATAAATATAAAACTGAAAAAATCAGAAAATAAAATTCACTGACTTTCACCATTTTTGAAATTGAAAAACAAATTTAAACCACATTTTTAATACACAACTTTCTATTATAAAAGTATAGTTTTTGAATAGAAAATGTTTATCAAATATTAAATTCAGGAAGAAAAAAAACTAAACAAAGACTCTCTATTATATTAAATGTGTATAGTAATACTTTGCACAAAAAAAAATGGAGTATAATAATTATCTTAGCTGATTTTTTTTAAAAAAAATAAGAATTTAATTCCACTCTAAATTTAGAACTGAAAAACTAAATTAAATACAGTAAATTTAATTTTAATGCTTTATCCTTACCAGCATAGTGTTGATGAAATTTACGATATATTCAACTAACAATCATTTTGTAGTAATAATTATAACACACATTGGAAGTACTTATGGCTGATTCCATGTTCAGTGCTGTTTCTAACAAATAAAGACACTCATAAGATAATCAATATTTTTGAATCTTATTGAAGTTCAAAAATTAACTCTTCCAAGAAAAAGTTAGTTTGCAAAATAATAATACTGAATTAGACTGATTCTGATCCAAAATGACAAATGATACTGTAATATGAATATTGCTATTAAAATGTAAACAGTAAAAAAATGCCTAAAACAGAAAATATTTATCTTTTCAAGAAAAATGATATACATACTTTCTCAAAAAACTCAATTGCTTTCACCCACAAAACAGAGATTCTTGGTGCAAAACTATCTTTTAGAAGTGGGAGAAAAAACTTGACTTGATCAGGACAAGCTTTAAGAACAGATATCACAAACTCTGAAGATAACTCATCAGCAAAAGGTTTGGTAAAACATTTTAAAATGTTTGTAATGACAGAATTAAAATTTCTGAAATTCATACAGAAAAACAATGAAATATTTAAAAAGCAATACTAATTATAAATACACTTATAACATTTTATACACACAAGTAGCAGAGCCTAAACTATTAAAAATTCACTTGTTGTAACTTAATCCAATTTTTTTTTGATGATTCAGTATTACTAAATCGAGCAACTATTACTTTTAAATTAACTTATAATCCATAACACTAAATAATGTAAGAGTAAAAAAATAAATTTAACAGGGTTCCCATTCTATGATGAGATTGAAATTCAAGGACTTTCCAGGACTTTTCAAGGACCTCAACAAAATTTTCAAGGACCTTAATCTAAGACCAATTTTAAAAATTATTCTCTTCTATTTTACTAGAAGCAACAATGCTTGTTGTGGCAATAATTAATTTCAAATATAATACCTAAATGCTTTGCCTATATAGAGAGAAGAGAGTATATGTATTATGGACTAAAATTTATATTTTTTTAAAAACAACCCTACTGGTTTTACATATTAATTCACAAAATCATTTTCAGCACAATCTATAACTAATGGTAATGAGGTGTTAATGGTGAAATCCTTTAATCCTGTGTATTTCCATGTGAAGGCTGCATGAAAGACAGAGCTAAATCTTAGGTATTCCATATTCCATGACTATTCCATAACCCCCTCCTCTCCTCTATTAAACATCGTTTCTGAAATTATTCATCCATAATTTACACAACCTTCTCTAAATGTTATGCAGCAACAATTCTTTCTGAAAATAAAAATTAGAAGGAACATATCCCATTTTCACCATGTTTAAAAGCATTATTCGTTATGTGTAATCCACAACTGCCAATGAATATGACCTGGTGGGAATATTTCTCTTTTAATTCACACTGAAGCTTCTAATAGAATTTCCAATTGACATAGGGTCCATCCATGGATAATTGAAGTATTTTAGAGAGCTTTTAACCATCATCCATGCATTTGTAAAAAGAGGACAAAATATTTTCTGCAGTTCCATGACCCATAAATTGGGAGGTAAGATACTTAGTGCAAACTTTATTATCAATTCCTTACCATAATGTCCATCTGCTTAGATTGTAGAGACTGATTTAACGTCTCATCAAAGAGTACAGTGTAGCAATCAACATTCTTCAGCTCATTTATAAGAATCCCTTTGAAGTATAGTGCCAATCCAAAGGAGCCCAAATAGGCTCACTTTGTGGCACTACAAAAAAATTGTCTCGCTATACAGCTATCAGCAAACATTTTGGAGAACAATTTACTAATCCCTTCACAGGAGTTACATGAATAATTACTAGTGATGCACTTCAGACTCCAGAGAATTTCAGCATCAAGCACATTCCTTTTGACCAGATAAGAAGACAATGTTACCTCGGCCACTAAAGTTTCTGTTTCACATGGGGCACACGATGTTGAAGGAGTATTTACACCAGATGAATTAGATGTTGATGTCTTTGGAAAAAGAGAACTCAGGGCATGAGACTGCTTTTTTGTTTTACCTTTCTTTCATGTGTGATTTCAGAGCAGATTCTTCCATTTTCGCGATATCGATCTCCTTCATGCATAATCGGCACTTGGCTCTGAACTTCTTTTCGGGCATCGATAAAATCCATTCTTTATAAGCTTGATTATCCATCCATTGGGGATTAAAATAGCACTTCCCAGGCATAACTAGTCTAAACTACATAACACAAATACGAAGCCGTGCCTTTGCGAATACGCTTTACAATAAAGTTTTGAAATGACGCAAACGTAAGGACAAGTGCGGATGGTAAAACGGCAAATTTATTGAAAACTACAAGGTACATATTGTTACGAAATTCGAGAGTATTCCAGTTTCGATAAGAAAAAAGAAGATCTAAGCATATGCGACAGAAGATGAAGTGGAGTCTCGCCCCGAACGCATTGATTGTCTGCTGTGCTCCGCGCGCTTGGCAGACACCAAGACGCTAGGCCCGGTTAGAAACGGTGGCGTTAAAAACCACGTGAGAGAGCTCGGGAACAAAACAGAAAGAACGAGAAAGATCCGCGGGTGTTTTATAAAAAGGGCCGCCAGCAGTATTGGACAAATTCAAGGACCTATCAAGTTTTTCAAGGATCTAAGACGTTTTTCAAGCACTTTCAAGGACCTAAATTTAGCATAAAAAAATTCAAGGACTTTCAAGGACTCTCAAGGACCGTGGGAACCCTGTTTAAGTTAGTTTTTTTTAACTCCATTATCAGCAATTAAGGATGCATCAAATATTTAGTTTCTATCAATACACAGTCAGCTCTATGAGAGTTTATCTATGAAATAGTCCTATTATTCTGATTTATACATCTTATATTAATCTAAGGTTCACATATTTTATCAATATAGTTGTTAATTCTTACTTTTGCATCAATTTAATTCAATTCCTACTATTTATTTATTTTATTTAAATGAAAATTTTATAAATAAATAAGGAAGTTGAATATCTTGACACCGAATAATTTTACTTTTCTTATTTACACGTCAAACAATTCAATAAAAGTAAATAAGTGGACTAATGCAAAAATGAGAAAGAGAAGCTACAGAGAATTTTGGATTAAGTATGCAATGATGATTTCCACTCTCATGAAAAATCAACAGATTAATTGATCCAAATATTATATTATAAACATAGTTAATAAAACTTTTAACACAAGCCAAAATCAAAAAATAATTTTAAAATTTTTCTTTTTTATTGATTTCAGATTTACTCTAAATCGAAAATATTTTATCACTGAAGAACTTATAATGTTCAATGCTTTATAGAAATTGGAATAGGCTGACACTTGCAGTTGGTGATTTTTTGACAAAAGCATCTTGACAAGCGCTGCACATTTTTGTAAGACAAGTGGTAAAAAAGAAAAATAAATTTCCATGAAAGTTTATTGAATTGATAAAAAAAAACTTACTAATGCTGTTAAAACAATTAGATATAAAACTTTTAAAATTTAATCATATTTCTCTTGAAAACATATACATATATTAAATTAAAAAACTCAAATTAAAAAATAAATAAAATATGCAGAAAGTAATTAACTATGTATTTCACGTAAAACAAATTGAATTCTAAAATGATGTTAAGAAAGTAATTAGCTACCTATATCGCATAAAACTAATTGAACTCTAAAACGATGTTTTATGTGATATAGTTAGTTAATTACTTTCTATATGGTCTGTTTTTGTAAACAAAAGCATTCAAAATATAAAAGGACTTCTATAAAAGACTCAATAAATACATGCAACCAGAACAATCTAATGCTTTCAAAACAATTAAACATCCAAAACTTCAAAAACATATGAACTTCCATAAATTCCAAAACTAAAAAAATAAGATATTTCAATAAGATTTCAACAGCTGAGATTTATTCCATTACCTTCCAGATGATCCTAATGAAGGATCTCGAAATATTATTCCGTATTTAACTGAAGAGCACAAAGAAAGCATAAATTGATGAGCACATAATTGAACTTCTTTAGCCTCTTCATCTCCTACTTCCTATAATAAAATGAAATTTGACAAACTAAATATATATGTGCAGTAATTTGGGGAGCAAAGGAGGAAAAAAGACAATAATTAACTTAACAAATTTAATAAGGAAGGAAAATAATTATAACAGCAACATTGATAGTGCAGAACTCCCTATATGAAGCATTACAGAACAAAGACTGACTGCTATAATTAGATAGTTTAAGGAAAAGAATAAAGTTCATTTAATATTCGGATTATTCCCGAATTAAAATTACTACATACATATAGATATATATTTACACACACATACATATATAACACAATAAAGAAACAAACAAGAATAAAAAAAGAGAGATTAACAAAGAAAATTAAGAAAACTAATAAAAAGTTTTATTTACTGTGCATAAGCTGCAAGTACATAGAACTCATAAAATAAGTTAAAAATACAAAGAAAACATGGAAAAAATATATAAATTTTTTAAAGAAAATAAAAAATTTGAATAAAAATATTTACAGAAAATAATAAAAAAAAATATTAAATAAAAAACCAGAAAACAACATATGATCAATAATAAACAAATAAATAACAATTTTTTTTAAAAACAAAAGTAGAGCACATTGAGCAAAGAATACAAAATAAAACAAATCAAGCAAAAAATAGGAAATAGAAATTCAAGAAAATAGAGAATAAAACACAACTTATATACAAAGCAAGTAGCAAATTCAAATATACTTCCACTTACCAGCATCTTACAAAAATGATTTAAAATATTTTCGTAACAAGATTGTCGGGTCACAAAATAGGAAAAATAGAAGCATAAATAGAGAGTGGAATCATTTTATGGCACATTTTTACTGAAATACAGATTTTACGTGTTTGATTTGTTTGATAATTATAAACTAAAAATTTTAGTTTGATTTTAGAGTTAATTATAAAAATTTTAGCCATGGATTTAAATATAGTAAAAATATAAATTTAATTAGCAAATAATTTTACAAATTTATTAATAATTACATACAATTAACTCAATGAATTTATAAAGAATTTAATTACATTAGTTGAATATTCATTGTTCGTTTTCGCTAGATAAACATTACTACTAATTCTTTTAATTCTATTTATTTGATTAAAAATGTTATTTAAAAAAGTGTTTTTAGAAACATTAGAATTCCATGTAATTAGTTTAGATTAAAGTTAAAATTACTTCTTTTATTGTATAAGTCATCAATGCAGATATTTTCTTCGGTTTTAATACTTAAATCCAAAAAACTGAGATATATTATTATATGAATAATATTATTGAGTTGTCATTTCCAAGTTATTGATTTGTCAAAACTTAGTAATTCTTAAAATGCAATAGATCAGATCAAATAATATTTTTTTGCGAAAAGTGGTCACAAACAGTTTTCCCTTTGATCTTCAATTATTGTTTCAAAATGTATCAAAAATTTCAAAATTGAAGATTATTTCATGGTTTAGGAACAGTGCAAAAATTTTTTGTATCAACTTTATTCCTAATTATGAAATAAAGTGACATAATGTGTAAGTAAAAATATAGTGCAATAGCACAAATGCTAATAGAATCTAAATGTTAAACTGTAGATAATATTTATTAATAAAAATGTCTTCTCTTAATGCAGATCTTTAAAAACAATAAGAGACATTTATGGTATAAAAATAAAGAAAAGTGCAAGAGATAAAGAATTAGCAAACTATAAATCAGGAAAAAACATACAAAATAAATTATGAAAGTCTGAACGACTTTGAATAATACGTACATAACACAGAGGTTTTGCATCTTCTCCTAATTTACGCTTCATAAACTTTTTCTTTTTCAAAGGGCCTCTCCAAGAATACAATTCAATCACAAATTTTAAAGAATGTTCGTTGAACAGACGAAGCTTACAAGTTTTTGGAATATCAATATTTTCAACAATCTGAATACATATAAATAAAAACATCATTTAATAATAATAATTAAAAAAATTTAATAGCAGTATTTAATATCAGTTGAAAAATATTGGAACAGCTTAGTTTAATCATAATCGCATGCATGAACAATATATTTCTGACAAATAAACAACTATTCAGTACATGGTAACTTCTAAAACTATAATACACACTGATATTTTTGTAGTTATTCAGCACAGGATCATCAAAAGACACATTACACGAAATTTTTTAGATTCTTAAAAACAATTTTACAAGAAAACATTTTCTTTCAATATCAGAGTAAACGCAGAAGGGAAATAAATAATATTTTCATACTTTAGAACGAAAGGTATTCAAAACAAGAGTTATTGTTGATGCATGATCAGTTAGCAGTCCTGGAAATACATTATTTAAAAGACCTAGAAAGAGGTTAAAAAACAACTATCAATTACCTTTTTTTCACAATTATAAGTCATATCTTTTTACTAATATTAGTCAGCATTGAAATAAAAAGCAATTACAGGGATAAGATTTTCAAAAAATCTGAAATTCTATGTGAATTATATGAGAGTAACAATTGTAACTTTCACAACTTGGTATAATAAACAATTAATAGTTTACTTAATTATGTAAAAAGTACATAAAAGGGGAAAAAATGAGGTTTAATTATAAAATAAATTACAAAAAAAAGTTTTTTTAATAAAATTATTGCTTCATATTGAACTCAAGTAAAATAAAAGTACGTACCCCATCAGTATATATCATGGGATGCCTCATTTAGCGTAGTATGTATCACTAAGATTAATATGTGTATATGCTTGTAACTTATTTTACAACATATAGGTTGTCAGGGTTCATGCTCTACTATAAAAATAAAATTCAAGTACTTTTCAAGGACTTTTTAAGACTTATTATAAAATTCTCAAGGACTTAAATTTTAGTTAAAGATAGACTAAAATTTAACATTTTAAACTAAAATGTTTTGACGATAAATGTTAGTCGATAATAGCAGTACTGAAAAATAAGACTTCCATTGCTCTCTCTTGATTTCGGAAAGTGATCTAAGTAAAAAAAAAACAAGGGTGATTGGCATCAAGTCGAGAATAAAATTCATGATGCATAAAAACGTCAGGTTTGAATTTTGCATTAAGGCTTATTTTAAGCTAGGTATACAAAGTCTGAATA